TTGCCTGACCGTGGCTGGCAGGTTCTGGTACCTCGCTCGGAGGCGCAGCTTCTTCACTCTCCACTGAACTGATTTCAGCGAGGCTACTTCCTGCCGGGCAGCATTTTCTTGCGCGTTGTACGAGTGGATGTCATCAGTCGGGCGCAATACTGGTTGATGCCAGTAGCAGCCATTTTGCAGCAGGCCTGGCCGAGGGGGAAGGCGAAGGGGGGAGTCCGGCAGGTTCAGCTCTATCTTCCACCTCCATGCGTCATAGAAGTAGATCTTGTGGAGTGACTCGAACTGATACTCTTTGGCTTTGTTGGCAGCATAGTCAGCTTGCCCCAGGGCATAACGCGGACCACTGCCCACACAGAAGCGGTCACCTCCCTTGCGGGCTGCGTGTAGCAGCTTCCAGGCATTTGGCTGATGTCCATCAGGAAGGACATACCAGTCTGGATCTGTACATTTGTCAGCGGCATAGCCAAACAGCAGGCCACTATTGTGTATGTGACCATGCACTGGGTGCTGCTCATTAAGAAGCGACTGCTCCCCTTTTGTGAGGACAGTTTGCGACGTTAGTACTAACCGCAGTCGACGGGAATGACCTTGATGATATTCAACAAGGCAGACTGGGAGCGATCCAGTCCAGAGTGGTTGAGGTTCCATAGCAGCATGGAAAGCAGCCGTGGATTCAGAAACCAGCTTTCGACTCACGGAAAAGTTGCCCCACACACGGGCGCTGGATGTTTGTTGGTCGTTGGTATACAGCGTACACGCACCATGGAGCAAGGCGTCTATAACTTGTGACACTGCTGTGGTGCCGTGCATATTGACGGGGCAAGCAGAAACCGTTAAGTCAGTGGCTCGGCTATACGCAACATTGGCGCGTGTGTAGCATTCGTGGTCGAAGTCATTGCTCCGCGAGGTACCACTGAGGAAAGTGGATTTGCCATGCAATACCACACAGTGCTTGGCGGTTGCACCAGCAACTTTGACTGCCTGCAATCTCCTGGGTGGCTTCACTGTTCCTGGCCTTCGAGGATTTGTAGTTTTCGATGGCCGACAATGATATTTCCCCAATGCCAAAATTGTCTCGTTACATGCTCGGCCATATCCACGCATTTCCTTCGCTCTTCCATCGCATTTCCTCGAGATCTTGACAACAGTGAGATGGTTGTGAGAGCATTTGGCGCTTTGCTGGCTTTCGGGCGTGCATTTACTAGCACTACTCGAACGTGATCGAATTCGGAACGCTGGTGAGATGGTAAAAGCATTCGAGGCTACCTTGGCTCTTGCATTGCGCTGCTCATCTATAGCCTATGAAAATGTGCACAGTGCGAGTAAGCCACCTTTGAAGCTAGGCAACACGACTGCAAAGCTGCAACCTCAGGGAACCTTGGACAACTTTGGGGAACCTCATCGAACATTCTCGCATGCAGTGCGCACTTATCTCAGCTGATTTCAATAGCAGTGCACCCATCTCACTGCTTCCTTTGAGGAAAAATTGCCAACCTGATCGTGAAGTACTGAGAGTGAAGGATGAATTCGTCGCCCCCGTCTCACCTCGTTTCACTCTTTTGCATTGGCTAACGCAGCCTACCTGAGGTACGAACCTTGCACCTTTCTTGGTTGGTTTTGTTTTGTAGGGTTGGTTGTGGTTTTTGGGGTTCTTGTTCCGGTGTCGCTGCTTGGTTCGTAACTCTCTCTTTTACTAGCCTAAGGTGACTTGTGCATCCTCTGCACACATAGCGCCTCGACCCGTGCAAAAAAGAATGGCCTTCAAGGTCGACAGCCAAAGTCCTGATACAGAAAACTCCTTTTGTCGTGAATTCGGGCCCACCTAGTTAGGCAGACACTTTTTGTTTCACGCGTCTCACCTTAGTACAGGCGAAACTCTGCTACATTGGTTGTTGGGGTCTTTGGTGCTTGTTGTTTTGGGGTGGTTTGCTGGGTTTTTTGTTTTGGGTTGCTTTCCCCTACCAATAAGCAGAGTCTCCATCCTTTTTATGATGACCTGGGCACACCGCCCACATGGCGTCCGTACTCGTGGAAAAAAACTTAAGGGACACTCTTGTGGGACACTCTTGCGGGACACTCTTGTGAGACACTCTTACAGGACACTCTTGTAGGAACCTCTTGCAGGACACTCTTGTGGGACATTCTTGCAGGAAATTCTTGTCGGATACTCTTGTAGGACACTCTTGTGGAACACTCTTGTAGGACACTCTTGTGGGACACCTGCAACTGTGCCATTTTCAGAACGCCTCCCTGAGTAGGCGTTCCAGTCCCAGTTGGAAGAAGTCCATAGGTTACCCTGTCAGCTTGGGAAACATTAAAAAACATACCACCATCTTCTGCCTGACCTGCAGTCAACCGTCCATGCATGGGAACGGGCAGCCCTCCAATCTGCGCAAACACTTTGAAGTTGTTGCGCTTTTGGTCAAATAAGGCCAACAAGACATGAACTTGTGCGTTTGTGCCGTCCGTGCAGCTCCAAGTTTTCGAAAGAATGGAAACATGCAGTTGCCAATGATTTTGTCATTTTGAATTCTCCTGAAGAAGGCCTGGCCTCTTAGTGATGGAAAAACAAAGGGATCCAAAAGTGATGGTCCTTGTCCCACAGAGTGAGGCAGTTCGACTTGGCTGGTTCTCCAGCATCGACAAGAGTAAGACAGGTGTGTTCTGTTGGATGCTGCAAACCACGGTGGGAAAAGTGAAAGTTCAGCGCATCTTTGTTTCACACTGATTTCATCCCAGTGCAAGGTGACAACACCATCATGAGATCCATAAGGTTTCTGGTCTGACCGGTGTTTGTTTGTTTGTTTGTTTTTTTTTTTTTTGTGTTGTTGTGGGTTGTTTGTTTGGGCCCTGTTGCCTTATGGTTTGGTGCCAGGAAATCTTGATCTCTACAACAGCTGACCTTCGCATTCTTGGCGATAACTGGCAGCTGCACGCGTGCAAAAATGAATGTTCAGAGTATCTGTTAAATTTGCGGTGTCGCTTTGGGTCTGCGTCCTCTTGGGAAATTTTTCAACCTTTTGCAAGAGCCCCTGGAACGTTGCAGATCTTTATATGCACGACGATCATTTGCTTGGATTTTCCTTTGGGTGATGCAGTAGAAGATCATGTGCATGTGTCGCCTCCGGGTGAAAGTGTTTGAAGGATTTTTCAGATGCTTGCTGGAGCATCTGTGTGTGTGATGGAAGTGTGTCAATGTATGATGGATGTCTGCCAACATCCATCCTGTGGATGTTGTGTTGTTGTTTGTCTTCCCTTTTTTTGGGTTTCCTCCCAAGTGACGACATCAGCCACACTGGGGGTGTGCCTGTGAGGTGTCCGAGGATCCTCCTTCAGGAGCCATCATGCTGAAAAGTGTGGCGTCTGTCTTTGGGGTCTATAACCTCCTTCGCGTGTTGGAGTAGAAGCTGAGAAGAGATCCCGTTGTTTTCTGCAATTAGAGGGTTTGGACATCACGAAGGTGGTGACTTTTGGGCGCAGTGGAATCCACCGTAGGTTCATTCGCCTTTGGAATCGTTCGAACACCGCTTTCGGACGAACCAGGATTTTTGATCATTGTTTTTGGCTCGCCTTCAAGAGGGTCGAGTCAATGGAGAGAAGCTAGACATGCACACAATGTAAAAAAACCTTGAGCGGTGGTTCGTGCTTGACGCTTGCGGTGCTGTTGTGTTGGGCCTTGTGAGGTCGTTTGGGGTTCTGGTTTTTCGCACCTCTCGCAGGAGAGAGTTGTGGATTCAGGGATTGGGTTGAGAAGTTGGCGGACTGGCTCGCCTAGTCCCCGATCGATATGGGCCTGAATTGCGGAGGCATTGCGCATGGAGGGTGAGATCATCCTGGTAAATCGATTAGGAATTGAGGGCACGTCGCCTATTCCATCTCATCCAGCCATTCACTGGTTTCCCAAAGGTTGAGAACATGATCTGCAATCAGATCTTCGCTGGAGGGGTGGCAGAAGCCAATGAGCTGATTCGCCTCATCCGACGTGAGTTTTCTCTGTGCAGTAGAAAGAAAGCTTGGATGGTGTGAAGTTCGTGATGTGGCCAACAGAGCCAAACGCTTGATCTGCGCATACGGTGTACCAACAACCATGACGGCCGTGACAAGATCCGAGCGATTTACCAGGATTACATGATGGCATATGGTGATTGGGACACAGGACGCATGAAGACGAGGACACCGCACTGAACATACAGGCCCAAACCAAAAAGGAGCGCGCCGCTTTTCAATGACAGTAGCTTTGGTGGTTTTGAGTTTCAATAGGTGAAAGGACACAGTTTGAGACCGATTCAGTCGGTCGGTGTTGACCATGTAGCTGAACAGTCTTGTGTCAATTGTGCTTGTGTAAGTTTGGAAACTGTCCATGCAAAGGGCGGTTGTCAAAACGATTCTTTTCCCAACAAGTCTTGAATCGGAATCTCTTAAGTTGATGGGCGCCTGTTTTTTGTTTTAATTGCGATATATTTTTGTTTATTTGATTTCACGTGATGCAAGGTTGCTCAAAGGTGATGAACAGCAAAAACACGGTGTGTAAAGACACAGTGCGAGGTGTCAAAAGCCTTCCTAAAGGTGTTTTGCAGCACATGTTCCACTTGTACGTGACTGTGTGTCGTAAATCAGTCGCCTCCAAACTGTTGGAATGTGTTTTAACCTTTACCCAGGTGTGACTCGGTCATGTTTCTTGAATCGCGCCTGACTTGGGGATAGTTCAGTGAGCAGAGAAACCGTTTCAGATGTTCTCGTGCAAGTTTGGCACCGAATAAGCAAAACTGCCGTTGTTGTTGTTGCTGCTGCTGTTGTTGTTGTTCTTCGTGTTCTTCTTCCAATTATTTTTGGACTTCAACGGATCAGGAGATTGTTTGTTGTTGCCAACTATCATGTTTTGGCACCTTTCAATCGGGTAATGTTTGTCATTTAGTGTGCACTTTTTGGTTTGGATAAATGAAGGTTCGTTTTGGCGTAGCATTTGGTGATTTCAGGTGGCGAATGCAGTAATCCGCGATTTTTGGCTTTATCAGGGTTCAACTCCGATTTCTGCGATTGCAGAATTAGTTGGAGCCCAAGCAGGTGGGACGTTGTTGTATTTTCAAGCCATCTTCTTAGAACATTGAGATCAAATTGAAGCATTTGTGTCCGCTCAGGTGTCACCATGAGTGAGGAGAACATATCCAATGTCACTGAAGCCATCTGCGAACCAAAGATTTGTCAGGTGCAGCTCATTTGTTGCAGATCTGGCAACTACTGTATATTTTTTGATATAAGAAATGCTTGGATTCATAACCGGAATGTCGGGAAATAGAGATGAGCTGTTGGTTGCTCTTCTAGAGCATTTGCGCATCGCTTTTCGTGGAGGTTGGTGGAGGTGGGCTATTGTTGCCTCTCTTTGCACCAGGTTGGATGGAAGACACGGAACTGACTTTTCACGAACTTATTTGCATATCTGACTGGAGTGTTTCCTTACTCTATTCATACTGACACTTGAGACTGCTCTTGGTTTGCCAGATGTTGCATGATCAACACGCAAAACTTGTTGTGCTCGTTGGAAATTGATCCCTGCTTTCTGTGCAGATGAACAAGAATGGGACATAGGACTTCGCGAGAACCTCAGCTGGGTTCGGGTGGAATATATTGTTTGAATTTTTTACTTAAGTTTCCCTAAACATCTAGGAACCAAATGAATAGTGTGAGCTGTCCTGCGTCCATGGTAATAGCTAGTATATAGCTACTTGTGGCTACTTAAGCTACTAGCTACCTCAGTTCCTTACTTAATTAAGTAGGTAGTGGGGGGGGAGCGGGCAAACAAAAAATACAATAAAGATATAACGTGTTTGGCCTTGATGTTCTTGGTGGGTCGAAGCTATATCTTGACTGACCTGACACTCCAGCCTCTTGCAGGGCGGCAAGGTGTACGAACCAGTCAAACCGGTGACACCGCGCATTTGAAAACACATCTCGGCTACCTGCAGAATGCATCACAATGATAGTTTGTCCTGGCGTTTTTCTAACAACAAGCCTATTTGATTTGAAGGATGCTTCAAGCCTATTTGATTTGAAGGATGCTTCTTGCTTGAGGTGCTGTACTCTATTTCACTGGCCTGCTATGGTCTTTTATGGGTTTGAGCCTTGGGATAGTTGCAGCGGTCATGTCCACTTCCGAAACCTGTCGGTTTGGGATCGTATTTTTGGGACCTGGCAAGGTGTAGGGATTGTGTCCGACATCTTCATGGGAGCGATTGAAAAGGCCAGAACTTTGTTTCGAGCGCGGCAGGGTTTGTAGGAGCAACTCGATCGGCCAGGTTACTTCGAAGAAGAAACGCGTTTTCAGCTCCAACTTGCAGACCTTCATTACCGCAACCTTGCTGGAATCTTCGAGACACCAGTTTATGACCTTGTATGATTTTCTTGGATGTTTTGCTGGATTGCTTCAGGTAAAGGTGTGGAATTCAACAGTAGCAAACTTGACACTGATGGCCTTGGGATCCAGTGCGCCAGAGATCCTCTTGAGTGTTCCGAGCTCAGAACACACCGGAGCACGGGTGAGATCTCCAGTGTTGCTTCGTTTTCCGTTTTGTTATCCTTTTGCCCTTGCAGGTGGCAAAACAAATGACACGTTTCCAGTGGGCACTGACAACCTGAATTTTGTTTGCGGTTCTGTGGAGAAGGAAACACATCGCTTTCTCATCGCAGTTGTTGGGCTGCCCGTGGGAGGTTTGATTGAAGCAATCACACACCCGTGGGAGCAAAGATAGGTCAGCTGAACAGGTCAGACATCACAGTTGAAGACCTTCATTCTTAGAATGCTGAAGTTGGCGACCCAAGTTCTTCTGAAGCCCAATTCGACCCGAATTGGCGAGGTCGTGAACTGGGGGAGAAACGTCCAGGGTCCAGGGTGTATGAATCTCAACATCATGAGTTGGTTCAACAATTGGGCTTTGGTTGTTGAGGAGAAGGTGAAAAAGTAGCGCCCAAGTTATGATACCGGTCATTTGGTTGTGATATGTGAGTGAGATGTCCAACACATGCTTTGTTGTTTCGCAAGAACAACGCAGTCACAGATTGGATCTGTGATTTTTCAAGGTCATAGAGCTGCTGAAGAATGGCATGTATTCGGGAGATTTGGGGCCGTCAACGATTGTAGGGACCTGAGCGGAGCGAGCGCCTCCGTCGGAGCGCCTCCGTTTGACCGTTTGACCGTTTAGTGATGAGCTGACTTTTGTGCCAACACTGAACGATGCAGGTCGGAAGCGCTGCTTTCAATCTCCTTTGTATCACAGCAGTCTGTGTTTCCGCCATCCCAGAGGGAGAGGTCCGTAGAATCAAAGACATTGGGGAGACACTGGCATGTTTAGATTTGGCTTGTGGTGTTTGTGCGTGCTAGCAGGTTGGAGGCCATTGCTATTAGGTTGGAGGCCATTGCTATTAGGTTGATGTGAAACTACTAGGTTTTGCTTGTGTTGTTTGTGCAAGCCCTTTGAATGCCCAGGTCTTCGCCGTCACCGCAAGTTTCTCCGTCTTCGCCTACTTGTGGCTGCTAGTCATTTGTATGTTGTGGACGCCCGATGCACTGCCGGCATGAGTTCGGACGAAATCTTAAATTCTTGACTACTGAGCAACTGAATGGCAGATCATCACTATTGAAGAGGCAGGCAACCCAGTTGTTTGCAGGCGTAATCTGGGTTAGATCACCCAGACCAGAGATTCGCACGTTGCCTTCCCAACAAAGCCAACGCTGTTTTTGGCTGTGATGCATACCGATTTGGCTGAGAAGCTTGGTGGCTCAGGGACTCATCACTTTCTTTCTCTTTCCGGTTCTAGTCTTGATTGCCTACATGGCTGCCCAGATCTCAGATCTGCTCACTCGATGAGTGTGTGTAAATAACCGTATGTGTGTTTGTGTCAGTTTGTGCTGGCAACTAAGCATGGTGTGTGTTTGGTTGAGGATAAGGGGTACTTTGCCAAGAACAAGAAGAAAGGAGAAGAAGAAAAGGTTTTGCTCGATGCCGCCACGGAGCAGGCCAAAAGCACATGCTGCTGGTGCTCTCTTTTGTTTCCACGTGCAATATGACGTTTTCACCTTTGTGTATTCTTTTTCGTGCTTCGCATTTCTGGGAAGGAAATTGCAACAATGAGAATGCGCATCCTGAAAAAGCACGGCACTGGCATTCCTGACGTATTTCCGGCATGTTTTGCTGCAGCATTCAGTTGAAACGTCCGCATTGACCCGATTTGCAAGGACAAAGTTGTGGCTTTGATCAGAGAAGAGTTTGGTGCCGTAGTGTCACCCTTAGGGTGGACTCCACCGCTTGGAATGAAAAGCTTACCGACTTGACTGACTGACTTGTGAGAAAAGGATGCCAACAAATTGATATTGCCAACTGGTCAGGAGTCAGGATTATATAATATTGGGTCAGGTTCATATTTAGGACTTCAGGTTCTCCAAGTTAGTTTTTGACCCTTCTCCCAGGAAGAGCCTTCCAGGGCAGCTAGGCGCATGGCTGCTACTGAGAAGCTCTTTGGTGGTGGAAGGACCGCCGTTTCCGAAGGTTCAACCAGTCGGAACCTTTGTTGGAGTCATTCATACCGTCCTAATTCATGTTTGTTTGTGACATTTGGACACTGCAGTAACTCATTTTTCAGGAAGTCAGCTCGTTTCATTTACAGTAAGTATATTTGCTTATGAGCTCAGCGCTTAGCACGGATCAAGACATCATATGAACACATCACATCGTCGCAGCCGTCGCACTTTCAGTTTGGATACCTAAACTAATCTCCTTTGACTTGATTTTGCATCCTCTCACAGTCAACTTGTTGGCAGCATTCTGCAACGCATTTTCGTGGCAAAAGATTTGGGCATGTGGAACCATGGCATGCTTTTTTGGTTGCTTGCACCACGCAACACACCATGCAGTTTTGGTGCGTTTCCAACGTTGTCACCGCAGTTTTGGACTGCTAGCTGCTAGCTTTCGTTCCCTGCAGAAGTTTGCTAGGAGAAAATCAGCAGATAAAGTTGTCGCGAGCCCCAGCTTTTACCAGCTTCAACTGAGGATGTCTTTGCGTGAACACAATTTGACTGTGAATGCTTAGGTGCCTATCCAAATCACACCTGATCAGGCTTTGTTGTTTCGGTTTTTGTTGCACCACTACAATTGCAGAGCGGCGCTTTCTAAAGACTTTCTGAAGACTTGCCAATTTCAGGGGCCAGCAAAGCAGAACGTGACGTTTGAATTTGAGTCTCCTGCTCAGAACGTGGCCCAAACGAGCCGGTTTCGAAACGAGATCTTGTGAGATCTGGGCTGAGTAGTGATGGGGAGAACTGGGTGTGCATGATCTTGTTCACGTAAATGGCCAAGCACAGCGCCAAGGCACACGGAATACTCCTGCTTAGAGAGCTGCGACACACTGGAGCGTCGACTTCGTTTTACTTTGTACGATTGAAGAAAGTGAACAAGCAAGCGTTTTTTGTTACGAATGTTGGCTGAAGCTATCTGAACTGTGAGGAGCTAGTGATCACACGTGAGTCTGACACCACAGCTACCCTTGGCCCAGGAACTGTCAAGTGCCCATTCTTGGAATATTTCCTGAATATTCTGTCAAGAAAAGCCCAAACTCACGCTTTTGTTTGATTGGCAGGTACAAGACCAAGGAGATCACTGCCAAAAATGGAAAGGATTTCATCGCAGACGAGGGTATTTTAGAATTTGCAGAGGTGGATTGGCCGAACTATTCTGTTTTGAAGAAGTAACAACTGCCATACTGTGCGACTGTGGAATCTGGATAATCTGGACGGTGTTTTAGTGTTTTACCATGTTTTACCCTTCTACCGCTGGCAAAGTCTCTTGCTTTGGTGGCTTCCGTGAATGCAGCTGCACTGAAGGGACGGTTCAATTCAAAGCATGGGCCCTGATGGTTCGCCACAATGCTGTTCTCTTCAGGACGAGGACCAGAAAATCTTGTGCATCAAGATTCTGGATGACGACGAGCATGAGCCTGACACGTATTTTGACGTGGAGCTCTCCGAACCAAAGACGACCTCAAGCAACGTGTGGCCCTTGTGGCCCTTGTGGTCCTTTCAAGCAGCGATGCCCTTGTTCCTAGTAGCGATGCACTTGTTACTAGTAGGCATGCACTTGTTCCTAGTAGCGATGCCCTTGGTACTAGTAGCGATGCCCTTGCTACTAGTAGCGGTGCCCTTGTTGCTAGTAGGCATGCACTTGTTCCTAGTAGCGATGCCCTTGGACCTAGTGGCGATGCCCTTGCTACTAGTAGCGGTGCGAATGTTACTAGTAGCGTTGCCCTTGTTCCTAGTAGCGATGCCCTTGTTCCTAGTAGCGATGCCCTTGTTACTATGTTACTAGTAGCGATGCCGATGCCCTTATTACTAGTAGGCATGCCCTTGTTCCTAGTAGCGATGCCCTTGTTCCTAATTGTGATGCCCTTGTTCCTAGTAGCGATGCCCTTGTTCCTAGTCGCGATGCCCTTGTTACTAATAGGCATGCACTTGTTCCTAGTAGCGATGCCCTTGTTCCTAGTAGCGATGCCCTTGTTACTAGTAGCGATGCACTTGTTACTGGTAGGCATGCACTTGTTCCTACTAGCGATGCCCTTGTTCCTAGTAGCGATGCCATTGTTACTAGTAGCGGTGACCTTGTACCTAGTCGCGATGATGCCCTTGTTACTAGTAGCGATGCCCTTGTTATAGTAGCGGTGCCCTTGTTACTAGTAGCGATTTCCTTGTTACTAATAGCGATGCGCTTGTTCCTACCTAGTAGGGATGCCCTTGTTAGTAATAGTGATTCCCTTGTTCCTAGTAGCGAGGCCCTTGTTCCTAATAGGGATGCCCTTGTTAGTAATAGCGTTGCCCTGGTTACTAGTAGCGATGCACTTGTTCCTAGTAGTGATGCTCTTGTTAGTATTAGCGATGCCCTTGTTCCTAGTAGCGATTCCCTTGTTACTAATAGCGATGCCCTTGTTGCTAATAGCGTTGCCCTTGTTCCTAGTAGGGATGCCCTTGTTACTAATAGCGATGCCATTGTTGCTAATAGCGTTGCCCTTGTTACTAGTGGGGATGATGAAAAGTGTAGAGAGTTGGAGGGCCAAATTGCCAAGGCAGTGGCTGTCCTCGGCAAGTCCAAGACAGCTCACGTGCTTCAGCCGAGAGGGCCAAACCCGAACACGCAGCTTCAAGGCCCGTTGGTCGCATTGATTGAAGCTGATGCACCAAGGTGAGGATCGTTGATGATGATGCTGTCGGTGTGCTGGCGTTTAGGTTTCCAGAAATGAAGGCGCGCTCAGTCTCCTGTGGTCTTTGGTCAAACGTTTAGAACTTCCGTCTCCTGCAGCGTTTCGATCTCCACGCTTGCACAGGTCCCAGAAGACTTTTCTGGGGAGAAGGCCAGTCGGCTGGCTAGACGCCTTGTTCAGAAACTTATGTAGATTGGGGAAAGGGTTTTGCTGTGGGTTAAAAAATTGTTTCTCTTTTTTGCTTTACACACACATGTCGTCGTTGAGTTCTTGCAGGAAATTTCTATCATGGTTCTGCGACAAGCAGGTGCAAAAGGGTCTTACTCGCACGCTTGGCAGCCTCAACATGCTATGATTGGTTCACTTGTTTGTGAGGTTGTTTGTTGTTGTCGTCAGTGAGTGGGTATTGTTTGGGTTACACAAATATGTATATATATATATATCATATTTTATATAATATTCCCCTGCTGTATTGCCACTGGCAAGTGTAGAAAGTACCTAGGATCGAAAGCCCAAACGAAAGCGAAACAGAAACACAAAGCAACCCCTTTGACGAAAGCTCTCCCAAGGACAAGCACACTGAATGAAGCCCCCTTGCACATGTTGGGATTGGGAAATCCGTTCCAGAAGAGACACTTTCTAGCCACTTTACCTGAAATCCCAAAAGGCATTCGAGGAATGTCTGATGGGCTAATGGGATACTTGAGATGCCAGAGAGCATAGGTGGTTCTATGAGTGTACTACCCGAGCAACTTATCAGCATTGTCCCGATCAACCCAGGGAATTTGCAATCGAAGCTCTTGATAAGGACACAAGAAAATACCCATATACCGGCTTGCACTGTAGTGCACTGCTGCCTACTGCTACTACTAATACTGCTGCTGCCACTCCGTTGCCACTGCTACTGCTACCGAGTTACTGCTACTGCTGCTGCTGCTGCTGCTGCTTTTGCTACTACTACTGTTACTGCTACTGCTACTGTTACTGTTACTGTTACTGCTAATCTCTAGCTCTTCTGCATAAGCCGAAAGAAGACATTCGGCAAACAATCAAGATCTGCTTTTTGGGAAGAGCCGTGTGAAGTACCTTGTCCCAGACGTAGAAAGGTGCGCAATGGTATGTCCTTGTGGCAAGGGGGTGTTTGTGCCTTGTGTGTTTGCAACACAATGAAATGTGCACTTGTAACGTCTTTGCACGGGTTAAACCATGTCTGTCAAACATTTATTGCATCGTGCCACTATTGATCAATATGCGGTTTGCAGATCTCTGTGTGGAAACTAGCCAGGCTCATCACATGCCAGTACAGAACCGAAGATGGAACGGGAATCTCTGGAATCGATTACGAAGAAGCAACTGGGACGCTGGAATTTCCAGACCAAGAGGCCGCATGGTCTGTCTTGATGAGAAGCAAAGACGCATTTTTGCTTGTAGACTATGCTATGCTCCTAAGATCTCGTGAGTGTAAGGCCTGATCAAGTCACGGCCTTTCTATCCTTGCTACTACTAACATGTTTTAGACGAGAACGCTTTGGGAACCCTCTCATTGTAGCTTGACACCAAAGCTTTCATTGTATTTCTGCGCAGACTGAAGCAGAAGTCAAGATCACCATCAAGCCAAAAGGTGCTCTTCTCAAGACTCTTCGGTTTCCAGTGCTCCTTTTTCACTGGGAATCTTGGAGGGCCAACATGTTAGAGAGAGAGAAAGAGCAAAAAGACCAAAGGAAACAAGACACGAGGGGATGACCATTGCACGACGAGACACGCACAAAATGTATACAATACAATATTTATACACATACAAGGTGCTCCGGCGGCAGTGCCGGTCCGGTGGGCGCACGTTTTGCCACCTAAAAATCTAGAATCAACTGTGTACAACTACGGCTTTCAGCACGGTGAATGGTTGAGCGACGGCTCACGTGGATATCTGACGTGTGATGTGTGTGATTTGCTGCACTTTGTGATGCTGCGACATGTGACGCGTGGTTGTGTGGGCGGTGAGTGAGGAGTAATCAGTAGGATGTGATGTGTGGCCTTGGGATTTTCCTTGTGACATGCTCAGGTCGCTTTGATAGCACTTCCATCTTCAGGTTGTACATTGAAGAACCGTTTGGAGCTTAGCTTCAAGATTGTGACATTGTCGTGAAGACGAACATCATGAAGTGGGACTCGTGGGAGCTGTATGCAGCAAGGACTGGGGGTGCTACCTTTGCGGCTCATACAGATGGTGGTGAGGAGAGCTGGACGACCAGTTGTTGCTCCGGGTACCTTGAAGGAAACATGATGCACCACAGGCACTTACTGTAGATAGTTTATATTTGGACAATGCTTCGTGGTGGTGTCCAGGTGGTGCAGGATTTTCTTCGGTCAACAGTCTGTTTGCTGTTATGTAACACAGAGACATTTGCATGATGCCCAACTGTTCTGTTCATTGGGTACGTGTTCACAACTTTGATGGTGCAGGAGTGCTGCATCTGCACCATTATAGTTGGTACAGATCAAGACACCAAGAGACGAGCGGACAAGTTGATGCAGGCGCCAACTGGAAGCTCAGCACAGAAGAGGAAAATCACTGAACTCCTTAGTTTGGCTAATGAGGCGACTCCTTAAGAAACAATTTTCGATGTCCAAAAACCGTTCAGACTCCAAAAAGACTTTTGTTTGAACTCCGGTCAGGCCTTCAAGGTCAACTGGGACGTGCAGATTATGGCCAGGGACAACTGGAAGGTTGGAAGTGGTTTGGATGAATGAAACATGGAAGGGTTCGAGATACAAACTATGGGTATTCACGATAGACTGACTTATTACTGAGTCCGACTTGCTTGTGCTCCGTTTTCAATCGTGCCAGGATCAATTCATAGATGCTGTTTTCCTTGACACCGGAGAAGCAACAGCCACGGACCTGGAAAATGCTTGTTGAATGAACACTCAGATCAAAGTTTCCATTACCAAAGTAAGCAGTGACAGAATAGGCAGTGACAAAGTAAGCAGAGACAAAGCTGTGTCACTGGTTGACATTGTGTGAAACTTGGCAGGGTTGCGCAGTGGCCGTAGCCTGGTTCTTCCACCTCGTCACGATGCCCTGGAAGGCAAATCGGGGCACAATCATAGTGTCTTGCCTCTTGAGTGGCAAGATGCATGACATCCGCAGAGAGCATCCTGGTGATCGGACGTCCGCCTCACTGAGAGTTTGCCAGGTTATTTTTGCTCTGATCCCACCTGCCAGAATCTGAAAAATAGAAGAGAGTGGTGACAATTGTGAGGACGGGGCATCAAGAGGTTCGGTGTCAATCGAGTTTCGACTGAGGTCGACTACTGCGGCGGTTGGGTTTGCTTTGTTTGTTCGCTCTCCATGATTGGTGGAGTTACAGCTCTCATAGGTGGCAAGCCGAGCGGAGACGCCAAAACAAGAGCGACTTTTGCAAAGCCTTCGCGAAACATGGAAACTGCCAGAGCTGGTTTGGAAGATGACGGACCGCTGGGTGTGGTTTGTCAGTTGGAGGCTAATTCAACAAAGCAAGTTTTATTGAGGTGATTTGGCTGAGCTCTGTGGTTGTGCCTTGTTCGCACGTATGATGGTTTTTCCCTTCATATACGTTTAACTTGAAACTTGGACTTAAGACTTTAGCTGGCATTTGTTCAGATTGCACTCGTGGCCAGGCGTCGTGTCAATGCCAGATGCTATCACTGCAATATCGTTAGTGGCCCTGGGTACTAGCTTGTCTGGCGCTTGGATTGAACACATACTCGTGTCACTTAATCTGCCGGTGCTGGAACCAGCGAGCATCTCCTGAGTATGCCAGCTTTTGCAAATGCCTATCCTGGCACCAAGGCCTGATACGTTTGCTTCCAAGACAGCAGCGGAGCAGGACAAGTCTGCATTTGACCATCTTTGCTCTGCTGCTGCAGCAACAGTCCACCAATTCTTGTCGAAGCAAGATGAAAGGCCTTGAGTAGATGATGCCTCCTACAAAGTGCTTTCGTACAAGGTATGGTTTTGTCGGGACCAAGTAATCCTAGGTTTGCCAGGTGATCGACATGGCTCATTTGAATGCTATTTGGCACAAACTTCCATTGGTTGCAGGATCCCACTGCCGATGCCTCCATTGGGAACGTGACAGGTAGCAACTCCGTCAACGCCGGTCACTTACTGTACGTCTTCTGTAAGCTGCATGTGATGACCATTTGCTTCAGAGAGAAGCAGCGCCAAACGACCAAGGTCTTCCTTGGTCTTGGCTTGCCCTGGTCGATTGGTGCAATCTATTGGGCTGCATTGGGTGCGCTCACAGCTGATTGGCTGAAAGTCTTGCAGTACACAGCTAGCTTCTTGCTGAGGCAACTTGCCCTCTGACCATGGCTGGTTCACAAAATACGCTGGCCAAAGCCAGCGTCCCAGCAGTTCCTGAACACAGGATGATCTAGCTGCGTTCCTCAACATCCCAGATTTGGGAAGCTGATTTGCTGTCAGGTGTGATTACCGATCATCCAACAGGCGGAGTGTTTGTCGTTCTGGGAGGCAACTTGGGCTTTAGTGTACAGGCCTAAGCGAAACAGGACGGTCTTTGGCTTTGGATGTCACTTTTCTTTTGCATGTTCATCTGACTGGCGAAACACAGTCCATGTCTAGCTGAGTCGTGCGCTGGCTGTGCGCTGAGGTGGCAGTATTCTGCTGCTGCGCGTCCGCCTGCATCCTGGCGCGGTCCTTGTGACGCCGAGCGAGCTCGGAACCTCCGTCCGTGAGTCTCCTCGGTCGGCTTCGCTTCGCTTCGCCTTCGAACTGAGGTGATTTTGTTGAGAAGATGGTTTGTGGGTGGTGAACTTGGGGGCCCCAAAGGCGACTCCTTTCTGAAGCTGACTCGAGCCATGACTCGAGTCTCGAGTGAAATTGAACTGCCTTCAGACCAGATAATTAATCATATTCAATCATATTCTGGCTTGTGAGACCAGTCCTGTCGCCAGGGACAATGTACGCCACGTCCTGTTTTCTCGCCGGGAACTCAAGTTGCAGGGTTTTTCTTGTCCCTAAATGTGACTGCCACCTCCCTACGTTACAAGCTATATTTGCTATTCTTTCACACATGCTGGTTTCAAGCTGCTATTGCCTTTTTTTGTTCTGCGCCGCTCTGCGCCCAGCTTTTTTGTTCTTTGTGCCTTCAAGTGGGCGAAGGCGGCGAAGGTCTCCTTCTCTTGCACTGGGCCACAGCTCTTGCACTATGTGGGTTGTGTGTGTGTGTGCGTGCCGTCCTTTACCCTCACTGGCATGGTGACAGAACGCGTTGGATTTGTGCACCCTTCCTTGTGAGCTTGTTGGTGCTTTGATCTTGCTGTAAAGTAACCCGACGTCGCTCCAAAACAAAGAACCCGGTGACTGTGGAGTTGGGTCATATTCGATGTGAATCATCAGGTTTGGGCTACTGAACACTTGTCCCCTCTCAGCCGACTCTTGCAGCACTTGCACCTGAGATTTCTGCAGCACTTGGAGCACATGTAGATTTGTTATCTTTCGGAACGCAGTAGATGCATTGATGATCCGAGATTGAGATGTCAAGTGCTCCTGCTCTTCTTGACTTCTTTGTGCTTCAGCAAGATCTAAATGCATCGGAGCCGACATCAATAATGGAGACAGCAACAATGAGACAACATATGAGCTGCTCAGAGCTCGATTGCCAAAGGATGTTTCCATCAACGAACAATCCACAAAGTGAAGCCACAACAGCCAACAGAAGCACATGCAATGCATTGCATTCCCTCTTACACATCCGCTATTGAGGTCAGCCTGTGGCTCCTGTACGTGGGCCTCTCCTCGTGGAACGTCCTTGCAGCTGGTTCGGATTGTTGAGGCTGGATGAGTCTTCTGAGAAAGAACAAGCTAGAGCTGGATAGCACCCACATGCCCCCCGTTGTGATGTTGCCGCCCGAGACATAGCCGCTGTTTCCAGGACTGCTTGTGCTTTGAATGTCGGACAATCAGTGACGAAGTCTTCATGTTTCACCATCATCGAATAAACGGAGCATGTATCACACGGCAGCACAGTCGGAGAGTGTCGCTGCCCACGAGACTGTGTTGACGCACGTTGTGTCGCCGGCGTGCCGGTTGTAACATCTGGGTGAAGTTTGCCGGCTTGGAAAAGAGATGGCAACGGATTGTCCATTTCAATGCTCTTTTAATGCAGAAGCACACACTTAGTTCAATAATCATAGTCCCAATCAAAACGACTCCTGTGCACAACAACAAAACAGGCTTGAAGCCCTAAAGCTTCACTGCCGAAGCAGTGATTGCTAACAGCAATCGCTTGCCCACAAAGATTGGGCGACCCTGCCCTTTCCTGGTTCGGCGAATTGCCCTGCCAGCACGGCAGGATACGCTTGGATTGACTGAGTGCGAAGGACATCTCAATTTTTATGGTGGCAAATAGAGTGTCCCTTCCCAGCTTTCTTGCTACGTGAGCCGGCCAGTTAAGCAGTTACGTTGAATGCAGTTACGTGGAGCTTTGTAACTCCCAGACTCTTGGCTCAAAGGGTTTTCCTTCGCACTTGCCATGGAGAGAAACCCACAGCAGCGCGGTGCAATTGCCTTCTTCATTTGCTTTCATTCATCGCTTTTCTCCGCGGACTCTGATGAAGTTCATGTTTGGCTAGAACGGAATTCTGAAGCTCCAGCGAGAATTCTAGTGGGGTGCCTGTTTCTTTTTTCTGTCCAGGCTGAATAGTTTGGGACTCAGTCCAGGCTGTATGCCAGACCCCAGGAACGCCGCTACTTTCATTCACAAACAATTGGATCCAACTAACACTGGGCGTAACTGCTTTGACCAAAGGATCTCAGACTATTTCCCTGCTATCAGCATTTGTAGAGACATCGTCGGAAACCCGTCTACCTAGCAACACCCTCATCACGAATGACATGGTCTTTGATGCTCCATACAGACCTCTTTGGTTGGTCAGATCTCTTTCCACACATCGTGCGAAGGAAGTCATCACGGAGTCGATCTTTGTCGAAGAAAGAGTCATGGTGCGCTGGGATCATTTTGTGAACGGAGACAAGGCATGGTATTCCTGGGGCTTTGTGCGAGAGAGTCCAACCAAGCATTTCCTTGGATCGGTGACGGGCAACACGCCAGCGACGGGTCGTTTTGAGTGGTCTGTGCCTCCCAGACTCTGTGGCAAACACGTGCAGATTGAGATGTGCAGTGGAAGTCCGCCGCGACGGACGAAGCACGCGTGCCACACGTCTGCTCCTTTTGTGGTGGAAGGCAATTGCGTTGCAGAGGTGCCTGTGCAGACGACCAGCACCACCACTGAAGCAGCAGCCTTGAGGGAGATGGGTCCGCTTGGATTGGGAGCAAGGTCGCGGAGCTGGAAGATTGGTGGAGATGTCGATCAGAAACTGAGTTTGCAGACCACTGGTGTGAGAAATGGAGGCTATTCTGTTGCCTTGGTCGTGGTGTGGCTAGGGCCTCTGCCCACGTATGTGAAAGCCTTTGTCGAGAGTGCCCGAAACTCAGGTCCCAGCTTCTTGATTTTTCATACGCACGACGATGCACCTTCGCACCTAAAAACTGGCACGTCCAGTGTCCATTTCCACTACATGCCGCTGACAGAGTTGGCAGACAGACTATGGAACGTTGATGCCTTGCGCAAACATTTCAATCTTCCGTTCGATGCTTTTGCGCAAAAAGTACGAGAGTGCTACGCCGACGATAACCCTGCGAAAGGAAATGACCTCAAAGTGATCTATGGAGCCCTTTTTCAAAAGGAGCTCAATGGATTCACCCACTGGGGTTGGACAGATTTAGATATGATATGGGGCCAGGTTGGCTCCTTTCTGGAGCCTCTTCTTCCCATCTATGATGTAATCTCTGCTCCAGATGGTCAGAGACCCGCCCTCTACTTGTCTGGACAGCTCACAGTTTTCCGGAACAACGAGCTGTGGCGCCGATTTGTGACTGGTTGTGTTACAGGTCCAGGGTATGTGAACTATGGGGGCTGCTACTTGGAAAGCTTTCTGTCTGAAGCCAACGTCTTCTTTGATGAGAAGGTAGCAATTTGGTATGCTGCCTTACGAGGAGCACATATCTTTGTGGACTTTTCATTGGTCTTGTCTGACGCCCGATGGCAAAGGCTCTCTGCTCACCGGAAACCAAGTCTGTACCGCGATGATGGACACCTTGTCGTTCCACATGACTCTAGTGTTTTACCCTTTTTGGACATAGAACAGCGGAATTCGGAGGTTCACTTGCTTCAAAACGTGAGCAACTGTTTTTCGGAATTTGGAGAGGGTTGGAGCTTCGTGTGCATACCTTTTGACACGCATGCCATGAATGATGCATTCGGAGCATCCTACGAAGTCAATCAGAAGCGATTGTTTCTTTGGCCATCGCCCCTTCGTCCTGTGGATCGTGGAAGTGAGTTTGCCGCTTTCCATTTGCACAGAAGCAAAGCATCTTTCAAGATGCATTGGGAGAACTGTGGGCCCTCGGAGAACAACTGGCATTGCTACAAGAACAATGGGATCGTTTGTGCGTGCGAGCTTGCTTCGACCTTTTCCAAGGGATTCAATCCCATTCCCAACATCGTGCACTTTGTGCTGACTGATAGAGACACCAGATTCTTTGATTGGCCTTGCTATGTTGCAATCCGAAGTGCTTGGGAGAAGCTTCGACCTGAGAAGCTTTTGGTACATGTACTGGATGGCATTGAGCCAAACACCTCGGCTGCATGGTGGCAGGCTGCCAAGCGCTTTGTATCAGACGTGCTTCCTTTCCCGCGGTCTGAAGTTCCTTTGTCATTGAACGGAGTTAAGATAACGCACCCTGCCTTCATTGCGGACTTCCGACGTATTCAAATTCTCTACAGCTGGGGAGGAATCTACATGGACACAGATGCTCTCTCGCTTCAGAGCTTTGATGCTTTGAGACACTGGAAGGCAGTGCTTGGACGTCAAGGGGGTGATGAGTTGAGGGCAACAGTTGGTCTGATGATGTTTGAAAAGCACTCTGTTCTTCTGGATACTTTGTTGGATCGAATGAAGCGCGCTTACACCGGAGCTTGGGGCCTTCATGCGGGGTCGCTTGGCGTATTCTCGGATGGTCGTGCGACTTCGGATGGGGTCGGTTGACGGCGGTACTGGCATGAAGCATTTGTAGATTTTTTGGTTTGTTTGTCAGCATTTCTTTGCTAGGATGTATATATATATAATATACATCTCTCTCTCTCTATGTATATATATATATTATATCCTCACGGGTTTATTTAAGACTGTGACACGTTTGTCAAAAGCACCACGTTTTTTTTAAAAACGTTTTCACGTTTTTTGGGAAGACAAATAGCGTTTCTTTAGATCAAGGACCTCAGGTGTGCAAGCAAACATGTATGCGCAACACAGCACGAGTACTAGTATTGTGTAGCAACGTAGAAGGGTTTCTTCTGTGCAATTTGAACCGGACCGAACGCTAACATCCCACCCCGCCCCACCCCCACCCCACACTCAGTCGTTCGCATTGTGTAGCAACGTAGAAGGGTTTCTTCTGTATGAGCGTGCAATTTGAACCGAACGTTAACGTGCCATCCGACCAAAACCCTCGGAATCATGGCACAGTTCTAAAGTCGTAATTACAGTGTGTTTTACATCGACCGATGAAAACATGCGCGGTAAATACGCATAAATACCGCGCTAAATTCCGCGAACGGATGCTCAAAAAAATGCGCAAGTAGCGTATGAATGTACATGTGAGGTTAAAAACGCGCACAGTCCTAAGTAAACCCGTCTGGATACTTCAACTGTTTCATTGCTGTCATTCTTGGTGTCCCTGTGCACATAAAGGCATGTGCTTGATGACATGATGAAGGAGCTCCAACCTCCAGGTGTTGCAATCCTCGGTCACAGCAGCGGCTTCTTCGCATCTTCTTGGCTTGCGGCAGACTTCATGGAACTGATGGAGGAATCTGGACGAGTGGACTGGAGCAGATGCTGGTCTTTGCACCTCTACAACTCTCAGACAAAGCGCCATGGTTTGAATTAAACGATATAAGCTGAAGGAAGTCTACGCTTGGTACTTACCCTGCATTCTTTTCCAAGGGGACTTATACAGGACCTTTTACTTGGAGGCTATGGGCACGCATCTACAGTGGGTCAAAGACTCCCCTCAGCATCACATGTTCATCTACATCCAAATCCAAATCCAACTTGCAACCAAGGAAATACACCAAAGATCCACTCGAGCTCTGCCAGAACGCAGGTTCACCTTACAAGGCTGGAGACCTATGTGCTGGCTTAAACATGGCCATTGCGTCTTGGCCTTAAGCATGGCTCGCCCCCTTTAGGAACACGTTCATTGTGCGCGGGTTCTGCAATAGCTTCAATGGCATGGGTGATAGCAGTTATTGGTTTTGTGATCGTAACAAAGTAGTTGACAGTTTTGGCGGGTCACAAAGTTTTCACCCTGGCACGTTGCCCAAGTTGGTGCCTTATAGGGGGGCCCCTACTTTGCTTGGCGCCTCTTCATGGTGCTGGTGACGTGTTTGACAGGGGGGCCGCTGCCAGATGTGCGGCTGTATGCGCTTTGAAGCTTGGGTGCTGGTGCCGCTGCAGGGTGCTGCCTGAGGATGCCAGATGTTTGCTGTGTGCGCGGAGCTTGGGTGCTGGTGCCGCTGCAGGGCATTGCTGCCAGATGTGTGCCCATGTGCGCCTTGGAGCTGGTGTGCTGGTGCCGCTTGAGGGTGCTGCTGCGGGCCTGGGTGCTGGCGCCGCTGGAGGGCGCTGCGGAGTGCCGCGGCTGCAGTGTGCTGGCCACCAAAATCTTTTTGCTATCCGGGGCTTGTGCTGGCGCACTTATGCAAAATCGAAAATCATGATGTTCCAGGCAAAGAGTTGGAGGTGGCTTGAAAAGAAGGACCCAACAAGGGAATATCAGGCTTTAGTCATTTTTTCACTTACCCAGCAAAAGGATTGGGGTAGCCATCCTGTTGCCAAAGTAGTCGCAGCCAACTGCACACATCCAGCAAATGATGACAGTGCAGCGACATCCGAGGACATGTCTGACATTTACTCCATGGTGAATCAGGGCTACCCGTTGATGAACAGTAAGGCCCTCATTGACCAACTGTGAAAGTTTGGCCAATCTCATAAGGCGTTGTTTAATACCTTCCCCTTGTTGCACCGTGCCA